GAATTTTGCTCTTACTCTTAGATCTTCAGTGGTGTCCTTTGTAGGCTGTATTGATAGTGTTTCATTCCTTATGAAGAATGTATGAGCATATTTCATAGTAATTTAGGAAGAAAAAGTATTTCTGAACATTTTTCCGTATCAAAGACAGAGAGAAGGACCTTGTTTCTACATGATCAAACATGGAACAGCCTGTAAACTCTGGCAAAACACACTTATAGTACTTTGCATCCTGCTTTAAAGTCTGAAAAATGTTCAGAAATACTTTTTCTTCCTAAATTACTATGAAATATGCTCATACATTCTTCATAAGGAATGAAACACTATCAATACAGCCTACAAAGGACACCACTGAAGATCTAAGAGTAAGAGCAAAATTCTGAGTGCATTTCTTACATCAACATTTTAAAGTTCACGAAAGACAAGCATTAGTTGTTTTATACCCAGATTTGTTGTGTTACGCGAAATACCCACGTTTTACACATTTTACAATAGTTGGATGATTCTCAAAAAACTTTTTTTCCACCAGTTATTTCTGTGATACACATCAGACAATCTATCTGACACCATAAGTTAAACCTTGTAAAGCAGTGTTACAGACAAGCTCAGTGCCCCATAAGCCAAAGCATGCTGTACCTACCACGATTTGTCGGCTGTGTACCAGGCGGGCTTCTGGGGGTGGCAGTGAGGAATTTGCTCTAACTTAGCAAGCGTGTCGTGCCCTTACCCATGACACCCTTCCTGTCATCCCCTCATTTCTGGATTCTGGGGGTGGTGTTACAGAGATGAAATGACGGTGTACAGTGATGTGACTGTTCTCGCACGCTCTGTGTAGTCCGACTGCCACCTGATCTCCTGAAGTGACGGTGTCCTTGTGTCGACGCCCCAGCCCATCCCCCCAGGTTTAGAACAGGCCACCTGCTGGTTCATCACGCCCTGAAACTGCCCCGTGTCAGTGATCTCTTCTGATGATGCTGCTTCGGTTGCAGTTGCTGCATGTATGAGTACCGGCACCTCAGAATGCTTCTTTTCACATATCCCATCATGCTCTCCTTTGAGATACACACACATATATACAGTTGATAGTGAAGCCTGTGATCTGAGCGGAGGGTCAGACATTTATCTGGCACCTCTGCCGTATTTTGAGGAGTTTGGGGCCTCAAAGGCCCAACAGATGGGTAACTAACCTGCTGAGGTTGGGATTTGAACCAGCAACCTTTTCCTCAGAGGCACAGAGACCTAAACTGCTTAGCCATACATTTCCACCCCCTCCTCGGAAATTTATTTCTGCCTGATCTGATGTAACTCATGGTGTCTGATGTTTGCACAGTAGATGACATCCTTATGAGTTCAACAAGAGGATCTTGTCTGATACCTTGGCTGAAGAACTTCAGCAAGACGACGTTGGTTAGTCTGTGGTCTAGTGTGACCACCCCCCCCCCAGAATTTGCCTGCAGGGCCCATGGGGGTTTGCAGAGGAAGTAACTTTTACATAACTCCTGCGAGAACGTCTACCTCTGGAGCAGTAGCTGATGCTGAACCGTGACTTCCTGTGTAGACCATGACGGGACGTGATGTTCGCTCACCAAAGAGGAGACGCCAAGCTCTGGCATCGTCTGTGACAGGATCCACAGAGCTGCAGCATCACGTTCAAGTGGAAGCGGTACGATCACTAAATACTACATACCAGGTTAACTGGGAGGTCAGGTTGTGTTGCAGTGTCCCATCCGCTGTCCGTGGCCTCGTTGGTCACAGACACACACACACACACATACACACACATTTGTATTCGCATTCTTGTGGGGACTCACCATTCATTTCTATGGGAAAACCCTAATCCCAGCCCTACCCTTAACCAAAAGTAAACCAAACAACATCAAAATAATAGGTTTTTATCACATTGCAGGGATATTTGGTCCATACAATGTAATATAAGCATGACCCACACGTGCACAAGCACACACACACACTCTCTAGATGAGGAGCTTTGCGTGTCCTGATCTGTGCTGCTAAATGTACATTTGCCAAATGAACCCACCCCCGTCCTCATCGACGGGGAGTCCCCCCCACCTCATACCAGCCCTCCTACACTTTAGTGGGACCGAGACCTGCAGATAGAGAAGCAGCGTGATGATTAAAGAAACAAAAGGCCACCCTCATTCTTTTCTCTCCTCCTGACACTGACAGACAGCAGGCAGATGTTCAGAAGGAGCCTGGTGGTTTATCTTAGCGGGACGGTGAGGCTGAGGTTCGAGAGGGTGACCCATGGTGCTCTTCCCGTGACCGCGCTCCACCTCGCAGGAAGGAAGCAGAACTGATTGTGAAGTTCCTGTGTGCTGACTGACACCTACCTGCACAGGGGTTGGGGGGTGTGGGGTCTTCGTTCGGCTGACACCCCCCACCTCCACAGTTAAATCAGCATCACCACAAACCTCAACATCTTCAGCTCTATGACCTCACTGGCCACGTCTCAGCATTCAGGCTGTGATAAACATACACAGAAAGGCAATTCACACATTTCAGTTTTAATATGGAAGACTGCAATAGATACCTAAGGGAGTTTGCAGTCCATATCAACAGCCTTATGGGAAATGAAGTTTCTGATCTCAGAATGTTATGTACAGTCGACCCTCCTGCATCACCACTTTCTCTATCTTGGTTTCGATATATCGCTGGGTCGGCATAAGCTATTAAATGGGAGTTTTTTGGAAGTTTTACAAAAACCGCAGATGACAAACAAAATGTTTTGTAACTCATAAATGCATAAAATTTGTGTACAGTGCTGGTTTGGAGGACGCCAAGCGTGTTAAGGCAGCCTCTCATGTGATATCTCGCTATGATCTTTGTACCTGGAGTTTCTCGTATCTTCTCATTTTACGTCGCTCCACTTGCATGTTTGCTTTGCTCGCCAAGGAGTCAAAGGGGACCAAGTAATTTGACAAGATTTCTCCACATCACAGGGGACCTGCGTTTCTAACCCCTGTGATGTGGAAGGTTTGACCGTAGCCTTGTTTGGCCAGCCCATGTTGTCATGTGTGATTTTTGGTTCATTTCATATAAATTACAGGAGCTGCTGAGCTGTAACACCTTTCAGAGGAGATTAAACTCTAATAACGGTCTTGGTGCCTTTTTGCAATAGATGCATATGGGTCTGTGGTTGAATGTGTCATAGTTTGGATGCCTTGACTATTTTTAATAATGTTCCATCAGTCAGGAACTACGGTTCTGAACAGAGACGATGTATTATGAGCAGAGTTTGTGTGAAGGTTGCAAAACGCCCTCTAGTGTCCTCTTAGTGTTGTTAACAATTTAATCTTTAAACTTTTTCACAGGGATTGGAAGAAGTCATTCCTTGGTGAGTCTGAGTCAAGTCTTCAGTCAAAACATTGAGTCAAGTCTCGAGTCATTTGCCCTCAAGTCCAAGTTGAGTCCAAGTCTTTCCATCATTTTTGCTGTTGAGTCATCAAATTTGTCACTCGAGTCCAAGTCGAGTTGTGAGACAAGTAACCCTACCTATGCCGTTTTTTAAATCTTTTGTGATTAAAACTTGCTGCAGCAAAAACCCGCTACAGTTATATATATATATGTTATAGCTTACATTCCTCACAGGAAGAGGGACGTTGAAAAGAGAGTGTCCACTCTGTCATGGTTGTCCTCACACAGTTTTTACATACGTATATATGCAGGGTGTGATGCGTCTTTCCAGCATCTCAGGAGACCTTGCATTCAGCTAATTATAAATTATATTTTAGTTGCCGCTGTCCTGTCGTCATAATCCTGCACTCCTGGCTTCTATCACCCACTTCAGTCATGTAGTTCCTCTGCTTCAGCCTCACGCCACGACGCCCCCTGCTGCTGCTCCTCAGGTACTGCCCCTCAGCATCCTCCTTCTGCTGCACCCTGCACCAATCAGATCATCCCATAATCTAACCTACCAATCAGATTATCCCACAACACAGCCCAGTAACAACCAACGTAAACCAATTAGATCACACCAAAATCTAGTGCACCAATAAAATCACAGTAACATCCATCACACACCAATCAAAGCAGGCTACCAGTCCCATCATCTGGAATCCCCCCCCATGAGACTTCAGTGTCCTGTCAGCTGCCTTTCAGCAGCACAGCATGCTGGAGACCCAGGCAGTATTACTGCGGGTGTGCAGTGCCACCTGCTGGAGAATGTCGGGAATGTCAGGATGTGATGTTCAGGGTCATCATCTTAGCCATGGGCAGGGGAGGGGGCAGAAAAATAAATGGGGATATGATGGGCAACTTATGAGAAAAATTAGTTTTACACATAAATGAATGAAATAAACTTTGCATTTGTCTTGATGAATAAGTGTGTCAGTATGTCCATGTTCATTTTTATTTGAAGTATTTGGAATTAATTGGCAAAAAATCACACAAATCCAGTGCTTTTCACCAGAATTCTCAGTACATTTTATTAATATGCAAATTAATCGATTTAATTTTTTTTATAGCAAAAAGTATCAAGGACTGTCTGTGATGCTGCCCTCTTCCTTTTGTATTCTTTCTTGTGACTTGTCGTGTTGGCAATATCTGACACTAACCAAATGAAAAACACCCGCACACACAACTAGGCTTTTCCACAGGGAACAATTTTCTGAGGGATCAGACATACAGCTTTGAGAGGAAGTGTAACATCGTATTCGTTTTATTCAAAGCAACTGCGTGAAATATATCCTTTCTGCCCTAATCTATTTATGGAGCTGGGATTTCTCTCCACTGAGAGAGGAAAGGGGATTTAGGTGTCTTGCTGAAGGTAACGGCGGTGGATCGGACAGCCTGGTGTGGCTACAGCGGGCGGTTAGGGGTCAGACACGGGCTTCCGGGCAGTGGGGGAACTTGTTATTTAACGTAAGTCTTACCGGGCTTCCGCCCAATCGGCGTATTTCACCGATCACTGACGATCACGCTAAATTTATCACGGGTGACCCCCCTCTCCTCCTCCGGTCGAAACCTCTGACCTCTCCGCTCGGCACTGCGCGGGAATATCGCTGCTGCCACAGACTCATGATGCGTGATGGTATCTTAGTCTCCCTGAACCTCGTCTGACAAACCTATTTTACTGCAGTAAGAAGCGGGTTATCCTTCTTTGCCGAATTTGACACATCTTCAAAAGTTCCTGCGTAATAAACAAACAGACAAAGCTACACTTAAACTTTTACCCTGGGAGCACAGTTGTATGCTGACATTTTAGTATGACTCGCGTGTGATTTATTTCAATCACTAAGTGGGCTCTGTGGGCTTGTGCTGGAAATCACTACAGACTTTCAGGTCACGTAGTTGTGTAGGTGAAGGACGCATAACTATATGGCAGAATAATTAGCGCTGCAGGGGTGGTGGCGCGTGAGCTGTCCGATGGCACCGCACGTGTGCTGGTCACGTGATCCGCGTGGGGTATAAAAACTGCCCCCTTTGCCTTTTCCTCTTAGGATGGGGGGTGAGCGTATCTACACAGTAAGTCAGCACAGTCATTCGTGTAATTAAAGTGATAGTGTTGTAAATTAACACAAAAAGCCCGACTGAAATGGGTCGGTATCTTTGTGCTGAGATGGGGCTCCGTTAATACTTACCGGCGATTTTTAATTTAAAGAGGAATTCGTTTTTAGTAGAGTGACGTGTTTCCACCGGTTAAGAACGATTACACACAGACTCACGCTGAAATTTGTGGCTGTGATATGCGGACCGGACCTATGAAGATCTGGTGTGGCTGTACATTCCGAAAGGCTCTTGTGAGGCTGGAAACAAGCCGCCTGTTCATATCACACCCAGCGGGCTGACAGCTCTGGCGGCAGCTTGTCCTCTCTTAATTTCCGGGGCTGCCTGCGGCGTCCGCACCTCGTTACACGTGGTTTGAGCGGCCAGGTGCTGCCGCTTTCCGCCATAACCGCTAATTATTAGCAGCTCGATCGTGGCTGAACAATTTCTCGAACTTCGGTGGTATTTATGTAATCGGAAGTGTCAAAATGTGAGGGGATTATCCGTCTTTTTCATGAACCTGTACTAAATTAGGCTACCAGTGTGTCGGGCCTAGCAGTGGTTTTTCGACAGGCGTTTTAAGAAAGTGTGACAATTAATATAGTCACAGTATTTGTTCCCTGCTGACTTCTGGCTTGCACCTGCCTTCCCAGGGGTAGTGTCAGGACCTGAGGAACATGGCTTCCAGTCTGCGCCCCCTCCTCACCTGTGCCCTACCAGGGCTCTTGGTGCTGCTGGCTGGCTGGTGGTATACCTTCTGCAGGAAGAGATCTAAGTCCCATCAGGACAGGGACATGAAGGAGTTTCAGCCTGGGGAGGGAGGAGGAGTGAACTCCCTCAGGCAGCCTAAGGAGGATTTTTCCAAGCTGGAGTCCATTCAAGGCTCATCCAAGGTCCTGAAGAGGCCAGAACCGGAAGGGCAGGTGACACCGGGATGGAAATCTGACACACTTGCGGAGGGCTCTTGGATTGGACTTGGACCAGGCAACTTCATTCTGCAGCAGTCAGAGCAGCAACACGTTTGTGTTGAGGTGGCGCCCCCATCAGGCCACCTGGGGAACTTCGAGTCAGGTGATGGTGTGTGTTGTGTCAGTGAGGAGCCTCGCAGTCGTGAAGGAGATGCAGCAGGAGATGATATGCAGGAGGTGCAAGAACAGGACCAGGAGAGGGGTGGTAGCTGGAAATTAGGTATGGCATTACCTGCCCCCATGGAGGTGCTCAGGGAGATGGAGAACAACAGTGAGGGTCCTCATGATGCCCCCCAAAGGTCAAGGAGTGAAATATCATCCTTGAGCCTAGTGGTGCTGGCAGGAGAAGCAACTGTCTCAGGACCTAGTCCCAGGACTGAGGGGGTATGTGGCTGGGGCCCCATGTTGTCTCCAGCAGTGCCTGAAAAGTGCCCCATGGTGGGGCAGGATTCAGGCAGCAGTCCCCCTGCCTTCCCGCCCAGCCCCCGAGACATAGACCTGGTAGAGTGGGAGGTAGCAGTGCCCAGGGTGAGTGGAGGTGGGGTGGGTTGATCGCCAAGGTCGCTCCCAGTAGCTGAATGGTCCCTTCGCTCTCATTCCCAGCATCTTGTTGGCCGCCTGATCGGGCAGAAAGGTCGAGCCGTCAGCTTCCTGAAGCGGCGCTCCGGGGCAAAAATCTATGTGTTCCGAGCTTCTCCAAGTCGGGATGTTCAGATCTGCCACATCGAAGGTGAGTCACCCCCCCACCCCCCCCCCCCCCCTCAGCTCAGCCTGTTTGGCCTATGGGGTGGGGAGGTGTCAGTGTCCTGCCTATGAAATACCAGGTTCCAGGGTGCAGGTTGACAGAGCCCTGAAGCTGATGGGAGAGAAGTTTGTGGACCTGGACCTAACCAATCAGAGCACTGCTCTCAATCCCGCCCTCACCCAGCCCACACTGGCCCCAACAAGCTGGGTAAGGGTGACTGCTGGGGGTGACTGGATCAGAGTGGCACCAGTACAGTCCATTCACCTCCCCTAATGCCCACTAGGTGGTGCTGCCAGAGGGTGTGCCCATTGAGGTCATCGTAGTGAAGGTGGTTTCCGCAGGTCACCTGTTCATCCAGCAGCGCACGCATCCTTCCCATCATTCCTTGTGCAGCCTCGAAGAGCGAATGTACCTGTGCTATGCCCAGCGGGGGGCGCCGTACCTGCACCCCCACATTCAGGGTGAGCTGCTTGTGCGTGTCCTCTGAGAAAGGTGGTGACTGATGTGCACTATTGACTTGCGGCCCCCTTCCCCCTTCCCCAAGCTGGGACCCTTTGTGCTGCCCCTGGGGTGGAGGGCTCCTGGTGGAGAGCCCAGGTCTCTGCCCTTTGTGACGACCCCACCCAAGTGGAAGTCCGGTTTGTGGATTATGGTGGCTACGAGAAGGTCAAGGTGGACACGCTTCGCCAGATAAGGTTGAATGGCCTTCCCTCCTTTCAGCTCGAGGGCTCCCCCTTGTGGACATACCGGTGCACTACCTCTGGTACTGTAATGTTCATGTCCCGAAACGCCTCTTTAGGTCCGACTTCGTGGCCTTGCCGTTTCAAGGAGCGGAAGTGCTGCTGGAGAATCTGGCCCCCCTACCAACAATGGAGAGCTTCTCCACAGAGGCAGCCTCGCGGGTGGAGGAAATGACGAGGGGGGTGACTCTTGTGGCGCAGGTGAGATGTGCTCTTGGCACAAAAGGCAGCTCTTGCCCTACACACAGACCTGAAGCTGCTGCATGCTCATGCCTCCTAGGTCACACGGTACCACAGCAGTGGCCTTCCGCTGGTCCAGATTTGGAAGATTGGGAATCAGGTATGGAATTCCCTGCTACTGAGCTGCACGGTGACACCTAGGGGGGGGAAATCACTGCTTAACTCCTCCTGCAGCTGGTGTCTGTGAACCGGATGTTGGCTGATGAAGGGTTCTGTTCCTGGGTGGAGAACGCCTGACCTGTGGACACCCCCCAGGATGTACTGAGGAGGTTCCCTGGACCACCACACCAGTGACACCTGGTGTTCAGCTGGGTCCCCCCCCCCTGGAATTGCTCCTTAGGTGGTGCTGAACTTCTGAATTCAGCTGTTGAGCAAAACAGCTTTTTTTCTTTTCTTTTATAGCCTGCTTGCATAAATAGTAATGGGATTTTTTAATGAAGTATTGACTCTCCTGCCCAGGGTCTAAATGTGTCGGATTAGATTATATAAATAAAGGTATTTAAACCCTTGAGTCGCCTTGGTTAATTGTTTTAATGGCAAGGAAATGGCCATTTAATGGAGTGGGGAGTTGGTGGGTTCCTCGCTAAATGGACTCAAACACTGCCCTCTGGGGTGGCACCTGTGATCCGTCAGACTCCGCCTGGGCTGCCGTCCACGTCGGGAGACTGGGATGCCTCTTCAGAATATCCCTGCCCCAAGGGTCTTAAATCTGTAGCAGGTTACCTCCTTCCACGCGCGGATTCAATAGCCGCTACTGAGACTGAACAGCTGCATTATTGCCACTGGGTGGCGTATGATGTCAAGTCTTTGATTTGCGGCTGATCGTATAGGTGCAGCGTTAAGTACCAGCTGTTGCCCAATCTGCAGGTGGACCCTGCGACTCATCTTCGCGGCACAGGTCAGTGTTTTAAAGGGAGTCATATAGTACACAGCCTTGGCGGGATCAAACAGCGACGCCCAAAGCTAAAAATACAATATTAGATTACGGGTGCGATGGATCCCGTGCAGGCGCCTTTTGATTGTTTTTGACGCCTGAACGTCGAATTACGTCTATTGGCGCGGGACATAATACGGTATTATATTAGCGAGTCTGGTGTCTTTCCGACGTAAAGAAACTACAAAAACGGAACATATGATAAAGAGAATACGATTCACGCGTCCTGTCCATTAGGAAAACATTTACCGCACTACATGTAACTCGTCATAGGCCTATATGTATTTACAATACTAAATGTTAGTAACCTGGAGATAAGTCCTGCAGCGTGTGGTCTTTGTCGTTCGCTGTCCTGTCAAGTGTCACCTTAATGTCCCTCGCCAGGCTGTCTCCATGGTAACACTCCCCCTGTCCCCTCCGGTTGACTCGTGAGGTAAAACCTGGTCTGCTTAGGGTAGAAGCTGGAGTCATTGCATAGGTTCGTCCTGACCAAGGCATCGCCTGGGGTCTTTTTCACATTCAGGTTATTTTTTTACAGGATCCCCTGAAATCCTCGTGCAGTGAAAGTGGAAGGTGGATGGAAAAGTGACGGGGACCGAAGACTGTCCCCTCGGGCACCCTGTCGTACTCAGCCTTTCAGTGTGGGCGACCGAGGTCACCAAGACTTTCCTGATCATTTAACATCTTGTAAAAGTTTACTTCTTTTTCCTCTGAACTATCAGAACTAAGTCATTTTTCTGGGTTTCCGGTGTCTTTGACTCGCAGAAGCGTCCATGGCCGCCGCTGGGTCGCCTCATCTTTAACGACGCCGGCAGCGATCTGTTGGATATAAAACTGAAAGTAGCGGGGGTATAACGTGTGGTGAAATTAAGCGTCTTTTTTCCTTGACCCCCTAGGTGATTAAGTCACACTGGACTGTGCCGTGCCCATTATCTCATGTCTTGATAACGGCAACCAGCCTCGGTTACTCACCAGGGGCGGGACATACAACAAGGGCTTTATAGGCAGGGATGGGAGAGGTACCCGTTTACCTAGAGACTGGACATTCTGCACGTGGGTTTCAGCTTTAGTTCCTGGCTTTTCCGGGAAGTGTTTTAATGATATTGAATGGGGGCACTTTACAGTAGTACTGGGGGGTCAATTGCTGCTTAAATCTCTAGGAGCTGATGCAAATTCACCGAGTCTAAGTAAGTAAAATGCGCCCCAAAGTTTAACGAACCTGAACTGCAACAGGTTATGAAATTTGCTGCATGACAATTTAAAAGCGGCTTGGCGTCAACCCTCTTACCAAAAGTTGTATTCAGTTCTATTGCACTTAATTGCCATAATACAATGCAAGAGCAAGTGTATCACGAAATCATGACAATAGTTTTATATAACCACTAAGAGGTTTTTGGTTATTACAGATTATTCCTTCGAGCATTATATATGAGGAAACCTGATGACTGCGCATCTTAAATTCTTGTGAAATGTCTAAGTTTAAACCAGACACCGAACATCTAAAGCCAAACTGGCTCCGCAAACGCTTCCCCGTTTGGGTCCCGTACGGGGCTCGGACTCCAGTTCCCACTGCCTAAGATCCGTATCCGTATCGGAATCCCTGTGTTATTGAATGAATTTCCATAAAAAGCATCAATTTTACAGTGTCTACAGTATGATACATCATTCTGTTTTTTTGGATCTCGAAGTGGTTGCCTGTTTTTTGTCTCTCTGGGTAATTGGTGAACCGTGTTTATTATTAATTCACTATGGTTTTCTAAAATGTAGAACAGAAGTATTTTTAAATTTTAATTGTGATATGTCGACATAACGTTAACGTGCCTTTGAAATATTTATAGTCCTGTGTAGGGTTTAGCAGTGTGTTATGTAAGTATAATTCGCGCGCCGCAAATGAAAGATCCGCGACTTGCGGTATTGTAACCTGTGTGTAACTCGGTAGTATAGGTGTGGGTTTTAATTCCTGATCCACCGGCTCCATGCTGATATGCTCAGCTAAAGTTAATTAAGTAGAAGATTAAATTTTGCCTGTATAACTGACAATTTTTGTAGTTATTAAATTAAAGCACTTTTAGATTAAAAACCGTAGACATTGCTAAATGAGTCAATAACATATTTACTTGCTGTTTTGAAAGGTAAATCAATCTTTTTCAAATGAAAAAGTATCTTACAGTTTTGTAAAATCTTGGCAGTAGACGGACGTCAAGTTCGTTTTTGACGAGTCAGGGATCTAAGTTACTCACTGTTGATTTTTTTTATTTGAAGTGTATGGTTTTCTTTCTCACTATATATTTATATGAAAAGATAAAGACATGAATAATTAAATGCTGTATATGTACACAGCAATGAACCTGGGCGTTTATCCCTTGTGATAGAGGTAGGTCACCAGAATTTTTAAAAATACATATTTCTTAAAAACATACTTAAATATGCTTTCTTGCTAAATAAAGGGAGGTTTTGGCGATACGTGAACCTAAAGTGAGCATCGCGCTGATTCATTTCACGTGTCTGGTCGTGATCCGCTCGCCGTCCACTGCAGCGTATGAAATGCACTTTTACGTACTGCCAATAAAAAAGACTAATACCGCCTCCGCAGTCCACGCCATTAAACGTTGCAATTTTTTTCATATAATTCTGCTCTATAAACACGCATTTCTAAATATTGCATTTTGTTGTTGCTGAGCGCGAACCGCTCGTTCCTGTTGTGTTTGGAGGTTACGTTAAGTTTGTAATTTAGTGATTTTTAAAGATTATAAAAAAAACTAAAGCTTGTGATATAAAATACTACACTGGAGTTAATTGAAGCAATAACACATTTTGTTGGCAACCACAAACGATGGCCTCTTTGTTAACGCTTGAGTTAGAAGTGGCCCTTTCGGGCCCGTTCTCCCCGGCGCACTGTCCGTCTCAGCTTCGGGTTTGCGGCCAGGGAGCTGAACCTCACGCGTCTCCTTTCAGTTTGACAGGCGCTAATGGGACGGGCGGCTGACGTCACAAGCCAAAGAAGTTCCATTAAACGAGAGAAATGTCGGGAAACAGTCCGGACGTCCCAGGGCCTCCTTTCCCTAATCATAAGGAAGGACCAGCTCTCTGAACATGAAGAATAAGAAAACGGATTAAAAGCACAGACATTAAAGTGCCCGCTGGCGGCAGGAATAAATTCGCCACGGAAAGGAAGGGACATCGTAAGACCGGCGGACACGATGCCCCACTGTCCGTGGGTTTTAACGTGGCCATCCGCCTAAAACGAGGCTAATTGAAGCAGAGTAGAGGGCGGCGTTTATTAGTGATCAACTGCTCTCGGTCGGAAGTTTTTAAGCCGTTATTCAAGATGAAACTTTATACAAGGAAGGCGCGTATTTGACCCAGGAGGAGCAGACGGCTAAAATTGCACAGATTTTAATGGGAAAGCGGGAACACTTTGGACCCTATAATGCTCTCCTATACTCATTGTCTGGGGGAAAAGCTCAGCTTTATTGCTTATATTCCGTCGTTCTTTCGTATATTATAACACAGAAAGTGCTCATTTGCCGCGGTTTCAAATATTCAGAAGACTGCTGCGTTCTGTGTACAGATACTTGAGACTCAAATCCCTGCCCATACACGGAAATTTTATATTTCGTTTTTTATTTCATTATCTAGTTCTTTGAAATACTGAGATGACCTTAACGGAATATTTGCGTGTCGTGCACCGTATCTTTCACAATTTACTATGATTAAAATACCTTCCTATAATAGTGATAATTACCATAGTTATACGTACCGGTCCGTACATGCCTTTTGAACATATAAACGGGATAACTTAGCTCTTCTGCACGTTAACCCGTAGGTCTACGCTCGAGTCATACATTTTAGCCGAAAAGTTTGTCGATGATGTAAAAATAAAGTTTTGTGGAGCCGCAGGGGATGTTTCCAGACTGGAAAGGTTTGACACAAATGTATAGAGTTGTTTTTTTAATAGTGACATATGATTCATTTGCTTTACTGTTTTAAACGAACACCATATCAAAATAATATATGTATTTACAACATAATTTCGACTACGTTGATAATCAAATTAAATATACAGCCAAATTAAACTTAACTTTGTATGGTTTACCGTGGTGTTAACGTTTTCTGTCGTCTTTGCGTTTTGATGGAATCAGCCAAGCCGAGACCACAGGAAGCCATTCATGTACAGATGGCCTGGATGTCCACTGAAAAGGCTGTTTTGCAAACCCTGCCTCCTCGTTCAGCGCCAGTCTCCGAGCGGGCGCCACGTGTTTGCCGTTCACTTGTTGAATATGAGACTCAAAGGACCGACATCTTTCTCGCGCTTTTCTACCTTCCACGCGGCTGTGGCATCGCTTGTATTGCCAGCACCGCCAACACCACTAGGGTGCGCAGTGGTTAAGAAGGAAAACGTACGTGATGCTTTTGTAGATCCTCATCAGCCCTAACAAATATTTATTGTGGTGATTGTTCTTTAATAATTGTTACTTTATAATATTTGAAGAGCTCAGACATGCACTAAAATATGTATATGGCATTAAAATATATTATTAGCCGATAGCTGTTTATTCAACAGTCATAAAACAAAAACAACATTAGAACTAAAACAGACGCGCAGACATAAATATATTCGTTATTGTTGTATTAAGAGGTTTCTTGTATGGCCCATTTCCTTAAACACAGCGTGTTTTTTGCGAGTTTCAGTTGCGTTACACAAATTTCCCTGCACGACGATGAACTTTATCATGGTATTTCATCCACTTTCAGTTCGATGAACTAACATAAACAGTTTTGGTCCGAGGCAAAATACATGTAGATATGAGTTTAACTGGGATGAACCTCTGTTAACGGCGTAAGTGCTGTAATTTGTTACTCTAAGACAATGGTAACACTTGGAAAGTAAAGTAAATAAATCTATAAAATTTGCAGAGTGCCTGGTGTGTAGTTATGCTACTTTAGAGAGCAAAAACTGAAGTTTCGTTTCATTGAATTAAAACTGGATTGGTTTGGTGTTCATTAGATTTAGCGCTTATTTATTTACTCCAAAGCCACTCCAATATCGGCCAATGGAGCTACGAGTGGGGATGTTTCCCTTCGGGGCTAATTTACTCGCAGCGCGCTCCATATGCGGGGTAATTAGGTGACTCGCGGCGGCCAGCAGGGGGCGTGGTTCGGCCGCCCGCGCTGACGTCACTGGCGCGGAAAGTGACGGGAGGGGCGGGAACAGCGCTGAGCTGATCCCACGTGTGACGATCGCATTCCCGGCTCGGTGATATTCTCCTAGCGGTGGCTCCGCTCTGCTGTCGCTCAGCCTGTGTGTGTGTTTGTTAGTGTCTGGCCGTGGTTGGGGTAGCAATGGAGGGAGATGGGAGCCAGGGCACGTCTCTAAGTGCCACTGATTCGCAGCACGACCCGGGGTAAGAGAATACGTAATTACCACACTTTTCTTGCGCATTATTTGTTACTAGTTAGAGGATTAAACAACTGTTACAATGTATCTATGTGCTTCTTTCTTCTTCCGGATACAGTTACCGCTCTCTCTGTCCTGTTTACATCTGTGCATTGTTTTATTATATTCGGAAGTAGGGCCTCCCCCTTTTTTAAGGTAGCTCGCTCGGCGAGCTTTTGCAAAGAGTACCGTCGCCGCTTTCCCTTTGCTTGGCTCGTTTTTTCTAAGTAGTTACACGTCAAAATGGCCGATCTGACATCTGGACTTACTTCTGCCGTGTGTTCTCCTTACAGTAAAATGTTTATCGGTGGCCTCAGCTGGCAAACGTCACCAGGTGAGAGGATGCGGTCTACCGGTTTGTACGTTTGTTCCCGGCTGTTTTGTGATCGATCGAGTCCGATCGGGGTACTTGCGGTACGGGGTGAGTGTGCGTCTGTGCCAGTGTGTGTGTCCCTGTTTGTGCGCGTGTGTCCCTGTGTGTGTGTGTCTGTCCCTATGTGTATCTCTATGTGTGTGTGTCTGTGCACCTTCCCGTGAGCGCAAGGTTATTTTAATCGCCAATGATCCCGAGTCCTCTATTCGACCCCCGTGTGCAACGCGGGTCTTTTTTGAAACTGCCCGCAAACGCAGCCACCGCTGACCGCCTCTGTCGCCCTCTCTGTCCGCAGACAGCCTCCGGGACTATTTCGGTAAATTCGGGGAAATCAGAGAGTGTATGGTGATGAGAGACCCGACCACAAAACGCTCCAGGTAATCGCCGCCTTTCTGTCTTGCACTGTTCGCCTGACTTTGTTTCCTCCTGTACTGCCCGTGTCGGCGTGCCATCCATAATGGCATTTTTGTGTTAATTAAGCTGCCCAGCAGAAAATCCTTGTCCCGGTCCCGCGTTGTGGTTTTACAAGCAATTAAACGAGCTGGCCGGCTTCGGGGAGCTGGCGAGCAGAGCCACTTTGACATTGACGTGGGACGGAAGCGTTGGCTTCCCCGGCTCACTGAAGAATTGCTTTCCCCCATTTGAAATGTTTTAAAAATAAACTATATCAGTGAGCTAGCACTGCTCCGGCATTCAGCAGCTTATCTGCGTTGTCAAGAATGACTAAAATGTAGAAGTACTACACTACGGGAACACGCTGTCTGTCCGGGCAGTTTTTTTTCCTGACCTCATAATTTTGTATGTCTGAAATGTTCAACCTTGATTGAACTGGATCATATTCAGGTCTTTAAATTCTGTCCCTTTCTTTCCCTTTCTTTTTCCAGAGGATTTGGCTTCGTTACGTTTGCAGACGCCGCCAGTGTAGATAAAGTCTTAGCTCAGCCCCATCACGAATTAGACTCAAAAACGGTACGTTGATGTATTTTATCCATGTGGTATTTACAGTATAAGCTCTGTATTTTAAATATATTATGCTCTTTATACCCCTTGTCTGGATGGGTTGCACCGTGGCGTTAATTAAATTACTCACTTCATACCAGACAGGAGTTTGGTCATGTCAGCTTAAAAATCCCGGAATTTCTCGGACCTTCGTAACCCGCCCTGTTATGCTGAAGGTGTTTTATCTGCGCTTTCGGAGACGTCAAATGAGGCGTCGCGTGTAAATGGAGAAAGATCATATTCGTCGAAATGGAAAAAAAAAACGTGTGAACCCCGAGATGTGATCTCGCTGTATTTAATTTTATTTAAACAGGGAACAATGAATGTAATGCATTTTTACAAGAAATCGATTTTCCCCCCGAGGGGACAGACCCAACATGAATCTCTGTGTCGTTGCAATTTATTCTGTGATAGTTCATTTGAGCTCTAGGCACTGAATTCATCATGATCCCCTTTAACGAAAAGGATTAAAAATCTCCCTCGTGCTCAGTGCCGGTAGGTTGTCGATTTAAATCCCCGCTACGGCGCCCCGGCGCAGCCCGGTAACCCCGCACGGCGGCCTGAAACATGCGGTTCCCTTCACGGTTTACAATCCCTTTCATGGAGTATGAGATGCTGCGTAAACTAGGTCTGGTAAATTAACACTCTAAGGAAGAACCTTAAAATAGCCCACATGCTCTACACCGCTGGATAAGTTTAATCTTTCTTATGAATAATAATACAATAGATCTTCATTTGTACATAGAAACGCACATTGGTAGCTGGTAATATGCCGTGCTTCGATTTCTGTCCTTATGTAGGATCCGGCTATTTGTATTTTTTTACGTGCCTTACCTCGTCCTTTCTGAAATGAAGAGAAACATAGGTTGTGTATTTTAAACGGATTTAGACCTTTCTTAGCATGTGTCGTGGGATGCAGGTCTCCGCGTCTTGCTGTGGAGATTCATGGGAAATTTCCCTCAGTTGTAAAAACACGCGTGAAATATTGCAGTCCTGTAAAACGGGATTTAATTTTCCTTCCCGCGTTGCACCAGATCCTGACATTTCTCCCCGTACAGATGCCGATGCGTTACACTTTATACCAATTCGGCAAATGTTCACGGGTCTTAAAAGATGCACGTTTGGAAATTAAGTTGGTGCCGAAATTCTGCAGTGAAGTGTGACAGATTTTGCCGGGAAGTTCGTGCCGGTAACAGCACCTGCTGACGTTGGTGGCGGGGGCTTACTTTGTCCTGAAGGGTGCGGGGCTCAAATCCTGCAATATGCGGTTCTTAACTTCCACATGGACGTCTGGCTCTTTAATACACTGCTTCTGAGAGAAAATAGTTTATCAGTCATCGGGGCTGCTCAGAAGAATGTGAATTTGCGCAGTGTTACCGCGATTCTGTCTGGCGTTGTGTCTCTGCGGGGTGTACTGTAGGTCGTCCAGTGCTGCGTTTTGGCCCAGAGGCCACCGGACACTGATTCGTTATTAAAGTACCAGCTGCTGAACACGGATTGGAAGCGAATTCCTCCCTCAGGTGCTGGCATCCAGTGACGTGGAGAGTATGCCGAAAGTGGGAGGGGCTTATCGCACGGCTTATCAAATCAAACAGAGCCAAGCAGCTGTTTGTCAAACCTAACTGCCCCGCCCTCAGGCATATCCACGGAAGGACAGTGTCAGGCTGGTTGCTGACCAGTCGCTCACTCTTCAGTGAGTAGGATTTGAGTGCTGCTTCCTGATTGGCTATTTGTGGTGTGGCGATGCCTAGCTGGAGACCCTTACTCTGCATCAGACAGGTGAGCCTGATATGTCCCGTGAGGGCAGCTAGGTGGGTAAGTGATGTGGGCGTCAGATGGTTGCCAGTTCAATTCCCAGAGTAGGCAGAGTGACATTACTGCTGGGCGCTTGAGCAAGACCATTAACCCCAACTTGCTTCAGGGACTAGGTGGCCCTGGTTTCTCAACCACTTTCCTGGTTTAAATCACTTTAAATAAAATAAATAAAAAGTAAACGGTAGATTTCAAATTCTAAAAATCCAGATTCTGCAGGTATATATAAAACTGTATAGTGTGAATAAACGTACACAGGCAAGTGATCATAGTGATAACAGTCGTTGTTATAGACGTCATTTGCTGTAGACAAACAGCATCCTCAGTGTGCTCAGGCATCGCGTGTCTGTTTACGTGGGTCTTTGAGCAGAATGGGGTCTTCGCTCCACCTGCAGGTGCATCTTCAGTTAGCGCTTTCCTCTGGGGAGGCGGGCTGGGGCAGCAGGTGTTGTGGTCTCTCCCCTTCCTTGGAGGGGGGTGGGGGGGCAGAACCCTCCCCTGTCTGTGGCTCGGGCTGTTTCTGAAAGTGCCCGTCTTAAAATATCAGTTTTGGTCCTGACTCATTTGAAGAGTGAGTGTTGGGGACTAGTTCAGTTTTCAAACCC